AGAGAGTAGAGAGTAGTAGAGTAGTAGAGTAGAGAGAGAGAGAGAGAGAGAGTAAGTAGTACGTAGACGTACGACGTACGTACGTACGAGACGAGAGGAGAGGAGAGAGAGAGAGAGAGAGAGAGAGAGAGAGAGAGAGAGAGAGAGAGAGGATAGGTTTTGTATGGTGGAGTTCCCGCCACTGCTACCCCATGCAGGCATCTTCCTCTCACGCCAACGGGCATACGCCGGATATAATAATAGCATTTGATTTTCATTTTAAAAAATAAAAAAACAGTAGCATTCGATTTTCGTTTCTAATTTTTGAATTTCTATTTTTAAAATTTTTATTATTTGAATATATTTTTATATATTAATATAAGTAATGATCATAGAGACCTCTCACACCCATGTGTGTAATAACCCAAATGATCACTATTAAATTTTACACAGATCTCTAGAAAGTTATCACAAGGTGTGAGATTTAATTTTTCTAGAGAACTATACCAAATTTAATGGTGATCTTATAGGTTTCTACACACATGAATGTAGAAAGGTGTCACAATATCATTTACCTAGTAATATATACTTTATTTATAGGGTGCAGTTGGCATACGGATGCATCTGTAGCTATAGAGGTAAGATGCAACTTCAAATTTTATTATGGTAAATAATTTTGAGGTAAAATATTCTTAGGATTATCTCAAAATCTATTTTTATATCTAATTATAAAATTCTAAATTTCAAAAATAGTTAAAATCAAGTAGATCTATAAACATATGAAAATCTTGAAAATGGACAGTATAGATAATATGTTGTAAAATGCATTGTTTTTTAGACTTAAAATCATTTTATTTTTCATGGTCATACATCTCGATGTCGAGATGATCAATCAAATGGTTTTTCAACATTAAAACTATCTTTTTCAATCTTTTGAGGTGCATATGTAGCTGTAGAGGTAAGGTTGCAACCTTGTATAAAGTTTTTTTTTATTTATATTAAATTTTTTAAAACATCAAATTGCTTCATTTTTCAACCAAACTGAAGAAAGCTACAAAGAAAATCTAAAAACACTGGAGAAAAGTTTTTATAAGGGAATGGCCATAGACGATCAAATTAAGGCGCTCCTCAAAAATTCACTATAAGAGGTTTGTTTCAATACCAAAAAACCTTACCTCTTACCTACGGATGCATCCGTATGCCAACTGCACCCATATTTGAAAAGATACAACTCCTCAAAACTCTTTCATCTAAATGTAAGGCACCCTTCCCATCTCTCTCCTAAAAAAAATTTTCTTTATCTTGTTCCTATAACTGCTCACTATCTTTTTCTTTTTTCTCTCTCTTTTGAGTTCCAAATTTTACTCTCCTAATATTTGGAAAGGTGCAACTCCAAAAAAATTCACCCATCCCTCATGTTACGCGTTCTCCTTTTATGTCCCATCTCACTCCTGCTCTAAAACCATATATAACACTATTTAATGTGGTTTTTAACCCAGAAGACCCGTCTCTCTCTCTCTCTAACCTACCTTCAAGACCTCTTTCTCATGGCCAGCCTCTATAGATCCTCCCTCCTATCGTCCTGCTTCTCCAAACAACATTGAAACCTCAAACGGTAGAATTCTTCATCCTCAACATCTCTCTTTTTCTCTCATATAAAGTTATATTTTTTCTTTCATGACATTTCAAAAAACCAAGTGCGACCTACCATTTCTGTCATGATATTTCCAAAAACCAAGTACGACACACCGTTAGTCGAGAAATATGGGGCCTTTTTTCATGAATCATCGAATCGCAGGAAATTAGCCCCTAAAAAATGCGAGCATCTATTGATTGATCTCCAATATGTCTTGATTCTTATTAGGCACAGGACAAGCCTCTATACGTGATATAGTGACAACTTCTTCTAAGTGGGGCTCTTTCTAGGTATTTCTTCTTCAAAATACATTTTTATTTTTTTTTTATTAATTTTTCAATGTGTATGTGATATTAATATTTTTCAAAAACTTTTACCAATTGTTCTCAAAGACCCTTACTCACTATTTCTCATCCTTTCTCTACTCTCTCTCATCCTCTCTTTCTTCTCATCCCCTCTCCCCACTCTTTCCTCTCTCTATCACCCCCTCTCTCTCTCTTCACTCTCTTTGCAAAACTCTCTATCCACTTTGATGATTTTTAGTGCTTACCTTGGTAAGCTTCAATTTTTTTGGGAATTTTTTGTGTTACTATTTTTAAAATTATTTTGCTTAGGTTCAGATTAATTTTTTTTAAAGTGTGTATAATTGCCATGTGGAAATATCTTAATCCCATCTGATTTATAATCCTCATTTTCATATATTGTATAGTGTAGAATGAGTTCTAAATTTATTCTAATTTTATAGTAGTTCAAACAAATATAATATAAAGGGAAAAGTTTATATAGAGCTGAGGCTTTAAACAATGAAATTTGAGCCTACCTCAAAAATTTCACTAGAAAAGGTTGTTTTCATGCAAAAATATCGTCAAATTGATCATCTTGAAATCAAGATGTAAAGAGATGAGAAAAAAATGGATTTTAAGTTTTGAAAATGGTGTATTTTGTAACACATTTTTGGACCGTCAATTTTCAAGATTTTCAAGTTTTCATAGATCTATTGATCTGCATTATTTTTTAAGCTTTAAACTTTATAAATAAAAATAAAAATATATTTTAAGGCTATCACAAAGATTCTTAGTATTGAAACGACATTTTTCGACATTATTTGAAGGTAGGCTCTAATTTGATTGTTTAGAGCTTAGGCTCTATACAAACCGCACCCTAATATAAATTACACTAAGTGCAACAAATATAATATACATGTACTATGACCATATGAATTTTAGTTGCTTTAGTATGATAAGTTTTGGCAAATTTGTATGTTGGGTGCCTACCAACTAAAGGCTTGGGATGGGTTAAGGGCAAATTTAAGGTCATCACCCTTCTTAGACCAATTTTTGTTGATTTAGTAATAGGAATTGTAATTATAGATAGTTATTAAATTTGAATTAGCTGTTCTTAATTTTTGGTAATAATGTAATGATAATTATATAAGTTTGTATTATGATAATTTTTTATATATCAATTTTTTAATTGTTTTCATAAAATGTCACATAAATTATTTACTAAATTATTTTTTTACTGATATTCAATTACAAATCAATGTGGAGTATTATTTTTCAATGAATTTTGCATCCCGTTATTTAATATATGGCATTACTATTATAAAATTAGTGTCCAGCTTTTTTACTATTCAGATAAATACATTTATACCATTAAAAAAAATTATTAATACAAATATTTTTAATGATTTAGTAATTTATTTATATTTACTGACTTTATATCTATATGAATTATTGGATTTTATTTCATGAATTGTTATGCTGCATAAGATCTTGTAATGTCTCATGGGTTGGCTACTAGTAATGTATTATTTAGATCATCAATTTTCAATAATTTTCAAGTGTTCACAGATCTATTCGATCTACACTATTTTTTAATCTTTAAATTATTTAATTAAAGATAAAATAAATTTCTTGGTCGTCGCAAAGGTTTGTGATACTGAAAACAGTATGTTTTTTATACTATTTGAAGGTGTGCCAACTTTGATTGGTTAGGCTCTCAACCTTATAGAAACCACTCCCTTTATCAAAATACAAAGAGAAAATATCGTATATATATGTTATATTTAGTGTTGTTACGGAATTACCATGTTCCGTTATTATATGTATATATGTTTTTTCAACTTCAAAACAGTTTTTTTTAAAAAAATACAGAACTGCCCTTTTTGGGTTTTGAAAAACCAAAAAGTAATCCAATTTAGTTTTTTAGAAACCAAAAACTATCTTTCATTTTCTAGTAACTTGATGGAAAATTTAGTGGAAAGAGATAGATTTTCGGTTTTAAAAAAACCAAAATTGTCGTGTTTTCGATTTTTCAAAAACCGAAAATTGGGTATTTTTGATTTTTCAAAAATGGAATACTATCTTTCATTTTCCAATAACTTATTGGAAAGAGACAAATTTTTAGTTTTTGAAAAACCGAGATTGTCGTGTTTTCGGCTTTTCAAAAATCAAAAATCGGATATTTTCCAGTAACATAGTGAAAAAATTACTAAAAAGCGACAAATTTTTGGTTTTTAAAACACCGAAAATGTGGTGTTTTCAGTTTTTCAAAAACTCAAGACATTTTACTATAAATGCTTTAGATATAAAAAATCATAAATGCTTTAGTCATAAATGTTTATATCTATATTGTAATAAAGGCTTCCATGGGGAATGATAACCCCTATTAACACACATACGTATCTTCTCATTTGAATAGTAATAATCCTAATTAAATAAGGATAAGGATAAAGTAGAAATTATTAAAGAACAAAATAAAAAAGGGGTCAATGAGTAAGTGAAAATGGCACTTGTCAAAATAATAAATGGGAAAAGTGATCATGCAAATAACCTTTTACATATGCAATAGAAAAATACAAAGATATGCAATAAACGGTCCTATAGATAATCACATAGCTTTCAACAAAGGGTGTTCGCATACGGATGGATCCGTAGGTGTTGAGGTAAGTTGCACCTTCAAATTTTATCATGGTATGTATTTTTGGAGTAATGATCCCATACTCTCTCCTATTCATGTGTATAGGAACTCAAATGATCATCATTAAAGTTGGCACGGATCTCTAAAAAATTATCATATGAGTGTAAGATTTGATTTTTCTATAAATCAATGTCAAATTTAATGTTGATCTTTTAGGGTCCTACATATATAGGTGGGATAGGGTACTATAAGATCATTTCTCATAATTTTGATGTAAAATGTTCTTAGGATTATCTCAAAATCTATTTTTATATCTAATTATAAAATTTTAAATTTAAAAAATGGTTAAAATCAAGTAGATCTATAAACATATGAAAATCTTGAAAATGGACAGTGCAGATAATATGTTGTAAAATGCACTATTTTTGAGACTTAAAATCTTTTTATTTATCAAATTCATATATCTCAATGTCAAGATGATCAATCAAAGGGTTTTTCAACATTAAAATTACCTTTTCCGATGGAATTTTTAGAGGCATCCGTTGTTCTACATTATAAGGTAGCATCCTTATATAAACTTTTCCTAATAAAAAAGAGCAAGGCAAAAACAAATTTTTTGAAAAAAACACTATAAAAAGTCTGATGCACTATAGCACACA